GTCCAATAACGATAAGACATTACCCGTTTCAACCGAAAATAATTTGACTTATCAAAGTGGTAAGAAAAATTCAAATTACAAGATAATTTTGTATACTACATAGATAGATTTTTATTTAAAATAAATCTATTTAATTACTAAATACTATTTTAGATTCTGAGTGGGGTAAAGAATGTATTGTTTTACATGACTTGTGTTTTATTTGCATGAATTTAAACTTTGAGGGTAGTTTCTGGTATCAAATTACATATACAGGGTGTAACAAAACATACTGACTAAAAGAAAAATATTTTAATTATACGTATGACAAAAATTGTTAATATTATATAGGTAATGATTAAATAATTTAAGAAATATATTCATGTCAGCAAATTTCACAAAAATCATATTACGTTCCAAATTAATTTTATCAAAAAAATGAAGTCTAGTTTTTGAAAGCCCTTTTCAAAAGTGGTTACAAGTGGAATTAAAAAATAAGTTAACACCCAAAAATATTAATAATTAATATACCTAAACGTTTGAAGTTTTCTCAGAACGATTTCTCAAAACAAAAATAATTTTAGTTAATTCAGTTAAAATATAATGTAAATAAATAAAATATAAATAAAAACTCTTAATCGGACAAATACAGAAATTGAACAAAAAATATATATTTCTCAAAAAATATACCTATATCCATTGTAAATAAAAGATCTTAAGCGATTAAAAAAATTCTTGAATGAATAAATAAAATCTTAATCAGACAAGAAAGATTAGTTGAAAAAAAAATCTAACAACATTTTTAGTCAAATTAAATTTTTTTATTAAATACAAATTTTTCATTTAACTAGGTTTTTTTTCTAATTAGGTTATTTAATTATATAAGATTTTTTATAGAACTTACATTTATTATTCTAATTCTAATTTTTTCATTAAAATTAAAGGGGTTTTCAAATTTAATTTGTTGTCATCAAATAAAATTTTTTATTTTCTATGTAGATATATATTTTTTTTTGAATATTTAAATAGATTTTTGGTTCAGGGGATATTTTTTATACCTAGTACAAAAAAATATAATTTGAATTGAAAAGGCAGGTCTAAGAAAAAAAATTGAAAATAATTTCAAACTATATTTTTCTAATATTTGAAAAAATGCCCCTGAAACAAAAATCTATACTTTATATTTAAAAAAAAAAAATGTAAAACTACTTAATAAATAAAAAATATAATTTGATAAAAAAAAAATCGATTAAAAAAGGTTTCGTTAGATTTTGTATTCAACTAGGCTTTTTTATTTATTTATCTAAAAAGGAATACCGATCTGCTGTTCATTAACTTTCTATGGGGGATGCTGTTTTACGGATTCTCCCTGTCACTAAAATTTCTATATTACTCAAAGTAAGGAGTTACAGATTATAAAAGCTGTGTTACAAGCAGTTACAAATGAGTTGTAAAACAATACTATTGGTTCAGAGTTAATTGTTTCTAAAATATGTTGACATGTATCTTAAGTCAAAAATCGCATTATTTCGGTAAAGGTTAGTTATGGAGATAGATACTATTACAATAAATTATTAAACATAAATAAAATATTAAATATAATTTTCTCATCTAAAATAAAATGAAACAATCATAATTCAAATAGTTAAATTTATTTATTTACATGAAAAAAAAAAATCATATGTCTGCTCAGAACCGTTTTATTCGTATTAAATTATATTTAATTAAAATTAAAATATTATTTTATATTTTCAATTTTCAATTTAAATATTTTTTTAATAGACAATTCAAGTGATTACAGCAGTAATTAAGAAGGTTTACCTGTGAAGAAGTTTGTTATCACGTTTTCTGAGGATGAATGGTTTAAAATGCAGCCTCATAAAGTTTTTTATAAAAAAAAGATAAAGATCGTCCATTGCAAAGTTTTGGGAAACTCACGGTACGCATTATTGCATGTTTATTAATAAAGTATTATTTTGACTTAAATACTTTAATAACATTCTGTCTGTTCTTTCAATTATAAAATTTAAAAAAATCAATTTATCAACAGAGTACTGATGCAGTGTGAGTACATTGGTAATTTTAATGAGATCCATAATGCATTTAAAAAACGCCGTATGATTGGACCAGCCAAAGAAAGAGCTATTAATTCAATTTTTGGAGAAGGATTATCCTGCGAGACTCACAGAGAAAAAGAAGCAGAACGATTAATAAAAGAAGGTACCTACTTCATATCATTATTCATTAAATTTGGTTAAGTTTAAAATTTATAAGATATATCTTTTATAAAAATATATTACATATCTCCAAAACTATAATATACTATAGTAGTTTCTTTTTAAAACAGGAGGACCCATTCCTGCAATCTTGCCCTCAGGAAATGCATTGAGAAATTTTAAGTTCCGCAGTAATGAGATGAAAAAAAGGCACAGGGATGTATTAATTGCTTTATCATTGATGAGGCAAGAAGAAGATTATAAGGGTACGCTTCGTAATATGGGCATACATCCATTCTTCATACATTATAACAGTAGTGAACAAATTCATCTATATAGAAACTATACTAAGAATGTTAGTCACCCATGACTTGTTATCGATGCAACAGGATCAGTAGTTAAAAGTTTTAAAAAGTTTGGAAATGAGAAGACAAAACCGATTGTTTTGTATCAAAAAAAAAAAATACAGATTTATTGTAACAAATATGTTGAGTGAAAAACATACTAACATAATGATTTTTAATTGGTTATCCGAGTGGTTAAATAGTAATGTTCAACCACCAAAAGAAACTGTATGCGACATGTCTTTGGCTCTATTGTCGCTATTACACGATGTTTCACACAATACTCTTCGTTGACTGACTACATAAATGTTTGCGCTGATTTAGTAATAAATGAATTACCACGTCATGAGTCTCATCTATTACCAAGGTAAGACCATTTATTTTTTACTTATCATAAACTATTAAATAAGGTGGGTTGGAAAAATATATACTTATGACTTAGAACAAAGGGTTTAAATTGATTGGCCATATATGGCTCTTAAAATTATTCAATGACTAAGTATTTTTAGGAGATCAAACAGAACAAAAACAAAGATTATTTTTCTATACTTCCCGAATTGACTCCTTGAAGGTATTATATTTTGTACTTTGTATGTGTCCTCCTCTGATATGGATAATCAGGAAAAAATATATAAATTATACATTTAATAATTGTAAATAATATATTAGATTAATAATAAAATAAGTCAAACTAAAAAAAAAAACTCCAAACCGACCAATAAAAGATTAACATACTTTTACACTTCCTGGCAATCTAAAACTCAGATTATAAAAAGAAATGGTGTCGTGAGTCGTGACCATTTCAATTAAAAATATCTCTCCTCAATTACCAAAATAAAACACTAAGCTAAGTACCACTAATGGGTATCTTCTTATTCAAGTAATCATGTTATTTATAGCTCTTATTGTATATATTTATTGTGCAATAATTTGTAAAGGTTATATATGTAAATTGAAATAGGTGTTTCGTTCGAGTTGATGTTGCACATTTTATGAAAATGGCAGCAAGATGGGTTCCTTTAAATTGGTTTTGAGAACCATGGGTCAAATGATATAGTGTCAAAGTCTTAATGATATAAGAAGTATACTACTCTCCCTTTTTATTGTCATAACCAGTGAAACTGATGGTCTTAATAAAGTCACAGGAATAGAAACACCATGTGAAATGCATAAAAAAAAATTGGTCAGTTATGCATCATCAGGTAATTTAAAATGAATGTGTACTTAATTAGTATTTGATCTGATATTTAGCTAATATTATATATTATAAAGACAGAAATTTGGTTTTTTCTCGTTTCAATCAATTGAAACAAAAAAAAATAAAAATAAAGAATATTTGAATTAATGAAGTCTAATCATTAAGGTCAATCTGGGACTTTTAAAAGTTAAAATTTATTTTTAGATTGTGAGTAGAGTGAAGAAATAAATTGATTTTACAATGATGTGTGCTTTTCTTTTTTTTTTGTGTGTCTGTGAACACGGTTTGGGGCAGTAGAACTACTTCTGTTTTCAACAATAGTATCTTGTTCGATGGGAAAGAGCATCTAGTTGATGCTTCGGGAACTAAAATGCCCAAAAGTATTCAAAAGCGCTGGGAAAAATTAAGGAAAAAAGAGACATTTTACGCGAAATCGGTTTTTGACAAAATCGTTTATGGTTTTTGGTGTAACTCGAAAACAAATTACCGTAGAATACAAGAATACACGAAATTTTCACTGGTTGTTTATATTAGCATTTTCTATACATGATAACATTTTTTAAATATTTTGGTTTGTTTTGAACAGTTACGGACATTTCAGTTTCGATTTTTTTCTAAAAATCCTAAGTTGTCTGGTTGGCTATATAGACTTATTTATAATTGTTTCTAATGTCTGTCTGTACCAATACATTTTATTCTTAATTGTCAAATATATAATTAATGAGTTTGATAATTTTAAGGAATCATAGATGACGCTGAATATGAGGATACAAGTTGTGAAGAAAGAGAGTTATTAGAAAAAGAGCATGACAATTGTATAGAAGGATTTCTTGATTACAACAATCCATTCCAGAAATGGGGTGAAAATATTTACGAAAATAGCAAACAACTGTTACATGAAGGAAATTAATGCCATGTATTTACCAACGCTGGTGTCTCCTATAATTAAGTGTATAAAACTTTTACCATTATGGTCTGGTGTTATGGTGCCAGTTTTTGGCTACGGGGAAGAGATTTCTAGCTCTGCAGCTATTGAATCAAGTTTTAGAAAGCTTAAAACAATTACATTTAAGCATATACCTCTACCTACTGGCTACTAGTATTGAAGAGTTTTTGGAAAATCACATATCATCGAATCGAGGAGCTTCGTTAATTCATTCAGCAACTAATCTAAATCAATCAGTTACTTCCAGCTCAACTAATCAAAATACTGTGAATATTATCAGAAAAAGTCCATGCGAAAATAATGATGAATTTTGTGATATGGATGAAGATGACTTTTTAGTAGTTCCAAAAAAATTATGTCCTTTATGTGATGCTGGTTCTCTTCCGTTGAAAAGTGGGGCACATAAATGTTGCATTTGTGGAGTTCCTGTCCATGCACTTTCTACATGTTCAAATAAAAGATTAGAAAATGATGAATTAAGAGTTGGTTTTGTTTGCTCATTAGAAGATAACATTACTGAGGAGAACAGGGCATGTGAATCTTGGGATCGAAAAAATCTAAAAATAAAGCAAAGTAATTCTTATCTTATTCCAAATCCTCATCTCAAACACATTGACCTGAATAACTCTAAAAATATTAAAAATTTACCTATTATTAAAAATGGATCACGCGCAGAAGAGTTAAAAGGTTGTAAATCAAGTTACATGGATGGAAACATTGTATTAACAAATACATGTGCATTTGATGCATTAGCTTCATTAATAATGGTATATATTTTTTGTTACTTATTCAACTCAATTAAAAAGTATTGTTTATATTAAATTGATTTTATATATTTTAGGTTTCATACTGTGACAGCAATAAATATTCAACAAAGATTGATTTCAATCATAACGAGTTTTTGAACTTTATTTCCAAAATTGTGAAAAACGGAATTACATCGGCAACTTACTCTGAACGTGCAGATTTAATTATAAATAAAACTAAACCTGAAATGCAGCAGTTGCAATATGGTACCATGTTAGTTTGCTGTGATACCACTATTACCAATGTAGTTAATTCAATGTTCAAAGAGTTCCCGCCAGTAACAGAAAAAACAACATGCTCTTCAAACTGTCAATTAACTACGAATTCTTTAAAACTGAAGATTTATTTATCGTATCAGACGGAAAATGGACAAATAAAAGACTTGCAAGGTTTTGTCGATAGTCAACTTAAATCTGTACAATCAACATGTCAATACATGGATTCAGAAATTGTTTGTAAGGGAGTTGAAGAAATTATGCCGAATATATCAGATATGCATTTATTTATCGATGTATTTTATTGGGAAGGTATATTGTTTATCATAACAGTATAATTTATTAATTATTAAATAATAATCTAATATTGAATATTTTTAAAAAGTATAATATAAAATAAATGGAACTTTTTCAGATGGACTTGTTTCTAACAATCGTAGTTCGGAAACCACAGAACAAGTGAAAATGCGACTGTCTGATATCCCAAAACTTTTGGTCTACAACGACATTACATATGAGCTAAGGGGAGTTATTAGTTTTCAACCGGCACAATCAAAGTTAAGGACATCATCAGGACATTATAATGCATACGCTATTCGGGGAACTAAGAATTGGCAATTGTTTGATGACCTCAAGAAAAAACCCACTCCTATAAAAGAAAATAAAAAAAATATCAATTGAACTACTCGTATACACTATTTAAGTATTAGTAACTATTTAAAGTATTACTTTTTTATATTATTTTAATACATTGAATCATATTATATTTTAGTCTTTTTTTTAACATTTATTTGAATATACAAAATCTGTAATGATAGTTACAATGAGCAGATGAGTGGAAAAATATAAAATTTGTCTGTGAAAACGTGAGAAGACTGGGGATTAGCTACCCAGCAGTAACCTTTAACGTAATATATTTTTTAAAATGTAATTTGAAATACCTTAATATTTAAAAACTATCAAACTACAACAAATCTGTTAGAAACCTGCAAAAAAATTTAAAATATTTAAATTGTAAAAAGAAAAATAATAATTTGAAAACAAATGGGTAAGTACTAAGTAGCCGGCAAAGTTCAGATTATAGTTTTAAAAAAATGATGTGAATTGCGTGCTAAATATTTTCAGAAAAAAATTGAGGAATTTCTGGCGAAACGCCCCCCCATGGATTTTGATTTTGGAGGGGGAAGGAGGGTCATGCGAATTTCAAAACTAGGCGTGCGAATACGTGCGAATTACGTGCTAAATATCTGCAAAAAAAAAATTGCGAAAATGTTGATTTATACTATGGGGGGGGGGGCTGGCAAGACGTGTTGCTGGCCCCCCATGGATTTTGATTTTTGAGGGGGAAGGAGAGTTGTGCGAATTTCAAAACTAGGCGTGCGAATACGTGTGAATCACGTGCTAAATATCTGCAAAAAAAATACTGCGAAAATGTTGATTTATACTATGGGGGGGGGGGGGCTGGACAAAATTGTAAAATTAAAACACTGATAACACATAAACACAAACCAATGATTTATGCATATTACGTGAAAATAGATTATAATATTATACCTAAATATTTGATAAAAAAATATAAAATTCCAACGAAACTTCATATTTACAGAAATCAAAATGCTGCATATCATTTCATAAAGACCATGATAGATATAGGTACAAAGGTTTATAATCTTTACCAAGTAAATATACCTATGAATAAATTAACTAATGATGAAGAGCTTAAATTTCAAAATGCTGAAATATGTGAATGCTGTTCCAAATCATTTAAAAAAAAAAATAAATTAAAGTAAGAGATCATAATCATTTTACAGGACGTTTCAGATCAGTTGTTTGTTTGAATTGTAACTTTGAATTGTGTAACGTTTCGTTTCTACCGATATACTTTCACAACTTAGCCTATGACAGTCATTTCATTGTTCGTGAACTTGGTTGTAATGAAAATGATATTCAGGTAATACCTAATTCATCAGAAAAATATATAGGTATCGTTTAGTAAATCAATTCAAGATAAATTTAATATAAAATTTATTGATACATTTCGTTTTATGTCAGAGTCTCTTAGTTCATTAGCTGATAATTTGTCTTATGACAAAACTAGATTTAGTGAAACCTTAAAAATATTTTCTATGTCAACTTAGAATTTAGTTACACGTAAAGGTGTGTTTCCTTATGAATATATTGATCATCCTAGTAAATTAAATGAAACATGTTTGCCACCAAAACAAGCCTTTTATAATTCGTTAAAAGACGAAGAAATTAGTGACGAAGATTATACACATGCTCATAAGGTTTGGAAAAGATTTAATTTAAAAACATTAGGAGAATATATAGTGACTTATATTTAGCAACCGATGTATGTTTACTTGCTGACGTTTTTGAAAATTTCAGAGATCTTTGTTTGCAAACACTTAAATTAGATGCTTCACATTACATGACCGCCCCAGGATTTGCATTTGATTGCATGTTGAAACATACTAATGTCCGACTAGAACGGCTTAAACAATACGATTTTCAATTATTTCTGGAGAATGGATTACGCGGTGGAATTTGTTATTCGGTTAAAAGACATGTAAAAGCAAACATTCCTAATATCGAAAATATTAATTATGATTCGAATAAGCCTGTAACGTGGTTAGCTTACCTGGACTGTGTAAATCTATATGGAAAGTCTATGCTATTCGCTTTAACTTATAAACATTTTGAATGGTTTGACGATTTATCTATAGATATAACACAAATTGAAGATGATGCTGAATATGGTTATATTTTAGAAGTAGATGTTATTTACCCCAAACGATTACATGAAAACCATAACGATTTTCCATTTTTACCTGAAAATAAATGTCCACCAAATTCTAAAGTAAAAAAACTACTAACAACATTAGAATCAAAATTGAATTATGTAGTTTATTATAGAAATTTAAAACAAGCCATTGCCAATGGATTAAAAGTAAAAAAAGTTCATAGGATTCTTCGTGGAAAATGTAAGAAAACGGATGTTAATGACACTAGTTTCTAACGAGAAAAAAGCCCATCGTTTAATGTGTAAAGCGACATTTAAAGATAGGACAATATATTCAAAAAACTTAATGGCAATTCACATGAATAAAGAAAAAATTAAGTTTGATAAACCAATTTATGTTGGATTTGCAATATTAGATATTTCAAAAACGATAATGTATCATTTCCATTATGATATAATGAAAAACATGTATGGAAATAAAATTAATATTGTCTATTCAGATACTGATTCATTAGTTTATGAAATTAGAACTTTTAACTTTTTCGATGACGTAAAACATAAATTACTTTCTTACTTTGATACATCAAACTATCCTAAAAATCACTATTGTTATAGTGATCTTAGAAAAAATCAACCAGGGAAATTTAAAGATGAAATTAAATCTGAAATATTATTAGAATTCATTGCTTTACGTCCTAAACTTTATGTGTATAAAACAAATAACGAAGAAGTTAAAAAAGCTACTGGTGTAAAAAAGTATGTAATTGATAAACACTAAAAATTCAGCGAATATTTAGAAATATTAAATGCTTATACCAATAATTTGTCTGATCAAAAAATATGTAAAACTATAAGCTTTATTCAGGCAAAAAACCATTTTGTTTATTCTAAATCTGTAAATAAAGTTGCTCTTAGTGCTAACAATGATAAAAGAATTATTATGCATGACGGTATTAATACTATTGCGTATGGACACTATCTTTTAAAAAAATAGTACAAGTAGTATAGGGGTCACTATGGTACACTTTCATTTTAAATGCAATATTTCCTAAAATATTTTTTCATAGAAATTGAAATGCAATATTCCTTTAATTATTTTGCAAATCGTGAAACGCAATAATTATTAAAATATTTTTCAAAAAATCTGAAATGCAAAAATACTAAAAATAATTTTCATAGAAATTGAAATGCAAAAAATACTAAAAATATTTTCCTATGGGGGGACTTCGGCACACGTGACATTTAAATGCAATAATTACTTAAAACATTTTTCAAAAATCTGAAATGCACCAAAACATTTTTTAATAGAATTGTTCTATCAAAAATAAAAATCGAAATAACATATTTAATTGCAAAATGTATTAAAATAATTGAAAAATTAATTTAAAAATTAAAAATATAATAAATAATAAAAATAATGGAAACAACTATCAAAGATTTTAATACATTACAAGAAAAAGAAATGCAAAACGAAATAGAAAACTCAATATTAAATAATGAAATCTTTGTTAAGTTTTGTAAATATGAATACTTTCATACTAATAATAAAAAAAATATTAAAATTATGAAATATAATCTACATAAAATTCCAATTGAAGGAAATATTTTAATTGTAGATCATCATGGATATGGAAATGGAAAGCCTTATGCTTCTAAAATATTAGAATCGCCAACATGGCTTGAAATTTGTAAAATAGCTAATGATTTAATAAATACAACCGGTACTTATTTTTACAAATATCTCCATGATATTTGTGTTGTTCAAGATTTAGGAAATATTATAATATGTTGTCTTAGCATGAGAGGTACAGATGCCGATCATAAGATGCTTATAATATAATAATATAATTAAATTTTTTAATAGAATTGTTCTATTAAAAAAAATGTTCAATATTTAACGCTCACCCGAATAGGGGACGCGTTATTAAAATCCAAAAATCTTTAAAAACGATTTTACACTATGATACTATGAGGGGGACTTATAAAAAATTAAAATCAAAAATGTTTAATGTAAAAATGAAGATTCTAACATAAATAGCAACGGAGTTATACTTAAATGAAAAATATGAAGCGGGGGGTAAACTTTTAATATGTAGTGTAGATAAGCATATAAAACATATCTGTGTTGTTCCGACTTGATAATATCAAATATTAAATGAAATATAGGACATATACGATCGCGTTATTTTTTAATATTTTTAATAGAAATATGGAAAAAAATGCAAAAAATCTACAAAATCATTCCCAGCTTTGCAGATACCCGTTAGGAAAAAAGGAGGCCGGAACTCTTTTACAGATATCTGCAAAGCTATCGTGGGAGGTGAAGTTACCCAAGCGCTTTATCCAGCAGGTCAACGACAGTTTTTCAGTAGATTGCATAGGTGTGTGCACCCACCTATACAATCTACCGTAAACGTCTTCAAAGCCTGACGAAATTAGTAGGTGGATATGCAGCGCTACACATTCCCCCACTAGTTTCAATCCGACCAAGAACACATTTAAATCAAACGCCTTAACCACTGAGCTACAACACTTGGGCATGTATAATGATTATTTAAACACTATTTAAATAATTCGATAAAAAAAACATCATAATATAAACTATACATATATATTATGATAAGGTATTCAATACCGGATGTTAAAAAAATAATCAGTGCAACGTTGATATATATATATATTATTATTATTATTATTATTATTATTATTATACCACACTGTATAGAGGTACTATAATATTATATATAATACTTCGTAAGTATTATATTCGATTTAAATTTTCGATGTTTAAAAAATTTTATTTTTTTATAATAAATTATAGTAATGGAAAATAAAAATCAAATTAATGAATTATCTTCGCCAAAAACTATAAAAAAAACAATAGATGCTAATAATGTAAAAACGAATTTGGTCCATATGAAGTCAAGCATAAAATTTA